AGACATTCAAGCGGCTGTCTTGGACTTGCTGAAGGGCTTGAAAATTGATGCGCGGATTCTTCATGAGAGCCTTGCAGCTTTAAATAAACGTGTTTTTTGTTTTAAATCTATTTGTTTAAAGATGGTTTAATATGTTTTTTTCTCTGAAACATGTTGGGAGCCTTAAGTTGCGGCAAACATCCCATTGACATGTTCAGCATAGATACGATGGATACAGCACTGTTTGCCTTGATCAGTTGTGCGGCCAAACAAGCTCTAATTTTTGTCAGCTAGCAATACGCATTTTTTAATATGTTTAAATCTCGAAGCTACTAAGCATAGCACAAACAGACACACACACACACGCACACGCATCCTTTTTGTCTCTTGATTAAAGCTCCTCAGCAAGCAAGGAACAAGGGAAGGATTGGACTTTCTCTGACCAAGCAAGACCTCGCGAAATTACACACTGCTGGCAAAATTTTCTCGAAAGCTGGCAATAGATGATGTGCTTCACCGATGTGGAAAGTTGAGCAGGCCCAAGCAGCTTGTTTACCAATTCCTTCCAGTTGCTGCTTCTACCAGACAGCATTGCTGTGGACCGAAGCTGCAGTCCTGGTTGTACATAGGCTGTCTCGGATTTCACTGGACCTGTGGACAAGATCCATCAAGATCCATGTGCCGTTTGTATCGGTTTCTTTCTTTTGTCAATACCAAAAATAGCGGGCGTTTTGAAATTGAAGCATCAGTGTGTGTGTTTGTGTGTGTGGGTTAGGGGTTAGTAATGGGGTAGCAGAGGGGCAGGTTGCCCCTCTACTTGGAAGACTCTTTCAGGATCGCAAGATTTCATTGATATGGACAGATAAAGTGAAGAAACCATTGCGAATTGAGGCAATGAAAATTTCCACTGAGGATGGGGATTGGGATATGCCATGACCATATATGAAAGCCCGTTGCCTGTCAGTCACTAAATAGTATAGTCACCCAAGTATACGTACAAGCACGGCAGACCGCTGTCATGCCTGGGGGTCCTTTCCCAATCAGACCGACTCATGTTTTCTCTCATCACTACATGTATGTGTGTTTGTGTGTTGTGTGTGATGTGTGTGTGTGTGTGCGTGTGGTTCATTACTACTTTACAATGGAATTATGTTTGTTAAGCACGCCTAGAAAAACAGGCATAGTGTCAGTGCTTAATTTGAGGAACCCCAACATCAACTGTGGGCGGGGACCTGATGGACGGCCAGTGTCGCTGAGGTTTGCACTTTGGCCGGGGTGCGGCAACCAAGTGACCAGGGAAAATCTGTCCGAACCGAAGTTCGGTTGGTTTCTAAAAAGGATGTCTCTGGCTTAGCTCAAGTTCCATGAGAATCACTTTGCCAATAGGTTCCACGTAGTTTCAAGAACCTTGTGAACCTGGTGAAACCATTTATTGGACTAAGAATACTATGATTCAGGAGGAAACCATCAACCAGCGTTGATTGGCAACGGCTGAATTCGATTTGACGTCAATTGCAGCTGGGCTCTGCAGCTTAGCTTCAGCCATTGAGCCAAGGATCCTTTACGGAAGCCTATATTTCTTGGCCTTTATGATGTGTTTTCTATCTCCGGCTTCCATCAATATCCCTTAATTCCAGGTGTTTTGTTGTGTTGATATTTGTTGAGGGCCCTCTCACACAATCTCAGACACAAGACTGTAGCATGCCTTCCCCCGACAAACATAGACATGGTTGGATGTAGCGTACTGCAATTCCCAAAGCGAAGGGCCTAAATCAGATTAGTTAAGTACAATCAAGTGAGCTCCAGAATCAATTATTTTATAAAGCCATTTATTAGTAAGTCAGTCCCTTCCCCCTCATATTTAACACAGCCCAGAAACCATGGTACAGGATTTACACAGATTTTGGACCATTTAGGGGGTGTGCAATATTCAAGCGGTGGGACTCTGCCATCAATATCCCATTCATATGTGATTGATATCCCATCACTATTAGAATTATGAAATGGGATATTAACCACATATTAATCACATATTAATCCCATCATATGGATATGTCATCAATATCCCATCAATATTAGAATAATCATCATATTCCATCACCAAACATCTCCTTAAAGCGCCATGGCCTTCCGTCTTCGTCATGTGGCGCACCTTCCCACGATGCCGCCGCTAAGTCTGGTAAGTTCCGGCCTGGTGGTGCTGCCGTCACTGCCATGTGGTGCAGAGGAGGTGGGTCAAAACATCGCCTGGTTGGTGGTTTCAATTACCTCCAGTGAATTAACATAGATCATGCCAGATAGGGCTTGGAAGATTAGTTTCCACTAAAAATGGGTTGTTTTCAGGTGCCCCTGATATTCAACACCCCCGTTCGAGTCACCATGGTGGATGGACGTAGGGAAGTCCACATAGTTGTGACTATAGAATTGGGGGTTGAATATTAGGGAGATGGGATTATTGTAATGCAGTAAGCCCAATAATAAAACCTCTACTGGGGATGGTTTATGATTTGGTTTATAAGGTTTATCTCATTATTTTTCATTTTTCAACTATGGAAAAGGGATGATCGGTTGAGATGATGAGCAATGATTAGCATATTTTTGCAGGTTTTCCGGCCAGCAAGCGGTCAGCCCTTCAGAACATGGCATTGCTTATGGGATTACGGGCATGAGTATAGGGTTTATTGACCCCTATTCCCCCTAGAGATGATCATCCCCCTATTCCGAATTCCCCTACAGATGATCACCCCTCCACTATGGTGTCACTAGATGTACTGGTTAACTATGCCCCTCCCATTACGGATTCCCATTGTGAGATGGATAACCTTGATGACCATACCACATTCAGCTCTTCCAGGTGGGAGGCTTTGGCTGCAATGGATTTAACATGATTTAACATGATTTAACCAACCAGGCACAGAATATTATGGGGAGGCAAGCATCAACTCATACGCTAGCAGCCGCAAAAAGTGACGCCCAGTTGCAGTTTTTGAAATGACAAGGTAACAACCTGGCCAGGTAGCTTCCGCCAGCTCTAGTGGCCCTGATACAACGCTGGTAGTGCTGCTGTTGGTACCTTGGCTGCCACTCAATTTTCTTTCAAATATGCCCTCCAAACTTTCAATTTGAAGGGAATGCTTTGCAACCAACTTTAGTGAACTGTAGAGCCCACCTATACATCTCTCCCAAAATGTTTTTTCAATATGTCCTAATGTTTCCTTATTTTTCCCCATGTTTCCCAGTTACAGGTTCAACACAAGTATTTGTCGAAAAAAGTGGCATGACCACAAGTTGTAGCTATCTCGTTCCCCCAAGGTGGCGGCATTGCTGTGGTTCACGATGCTCAGCAGCATCGCTCTGCAGTTGGGCGGTGCTGAACCTGGCGTGGAATCCACCTATTGGTGGATGGATGAGTCCAAGATGTCGCAGGTGCCGAAGCCGCTTAAGAAAGGACAGGTTCGACGAGTTAAACGTTCACTGCTTGGGCTTTACTATCCACAGCTGGGTATATGTGTATCGCAAGCGAGCTAGCTTCTGGTTTGAGATAGATATCATAGATGGTGTCTTCATTGATCTTATTTATCTTCGCATGTGGGAACGTCAAACCGTTAAGCAATTGATGTGTTGAAGGGAAAATCTGGAAGATAGAGCTGACCTATACTTGGGGTCAAAAACCGTGGTTTCCAGTCAAGCTTCCCTTAAACTAACCCAATGAGTTAAACCTGAGCTCCAGGAGATCATTCACGAGCTCGATCTTTGGACTGAGAGCAGTTGGCATATGGATTAATTTTCATCCCATTGCAACTAAAACAGCAAGGAAGAATGAGGAATGTGTATCTTTCTCATTGTGTCTCCCTATAGTTCCAAATTTGGGAGGAAGAGACGCAAACACTGGAGTTTACAGTTTAAAGAGGAATTGAGATCAGCTGTCTCCGGTTCGAAATGCTACTTCAATGTATTTGACCACGTCCTAGCTTTCCATTTTCATGTGCCACATCAGCTTGGCACATCATCAGCCTATGCCACCAAAGAGGCTGACTGGAAAAGACATTTGCAGATGTGTTGTCGGTGCCAGTTAGAGCATGAGACCCCATGCACTTCCCAAAACTCGTCTCCCCCGAAATGGCTCCAGCAGACAGAGCCATCAGTGCCAAAGCTTGTTTGACTTTCAGCTGGTTCCCTATGATGACTGGCATAGTGCAGTGCCTCAGGCCGGTACCGAAGTGTTACCCGAGGGTAGGGTGCACCTGGCATGTTTGGGAGCTGGTCTAAGGGGGATACTGTTGCGCCGCGTCTGACTTCAGGTGCATATGAAGATACAGTTGATGCTATTACCCCAATCAACATATTGTTCATAACGGGTGGCAAATTCTGATCCCTTATGAAGACAAGGTTGATGTTATTACCCCAATCAACATACTGTTCATAGGGGGTGGCAAATTTTGATCCCTTATGAAGATAAAGTTGATGCTAGTACCCCAATCAACATATTGTTCATAATGGGTGGCAAATTCTGATCCCTTATGAAGACAAGGTTGATGTTATTACCCCAATCAACATACTGTTCATAGGGGGTGGCGAATTTTGATCCCTTATGAAGATAAAGTTGATGCTATTACCCCAATCAACATTCATATGGGTTGGTGAATTTTGACCCCTTGTGAAGATAAAGTTGATGTTGTTACTCCAGCCAACATTTTGTTCATAGGGGGTGGCGAATTTTGATCCCTTATGAAGATAAAGTTGATGTTTTCTACTCCAATCGACATATTCTTCATAGGGGGTTGCAAATTTTGATCCCTCATGAAGATAGGTGGTGGCGAACTTTGATCCCTCATGGAGATATCATTGATGTTAGTACCCCAACCAACGTATTGTTCAGAGGAGGTGGTGAATTTTGACCCCTCATGAAGATAAAGTTGATGTTATTACCCCGGCCAACATATTGTTCAGAGGGGGTGGCGAATTTTCATGCGATGATGATCATGATGTGATGATGTGATGATGATGATCATGATGTGATA